TCGCTCTCCTGAGGGTTTAAATGTAGAGATTCTAAGCTGCCTACTTTGATATCTCGCCTGTCAGTTAGTTTCGGAGTAACCTCATTTAAAGCCTGCCGTCTCCAGTCCTGCAGTAATACTTAAAGTTATTATTCACGGTTCATCCCTCCGACCCCCCGCTCTGCTGTGTTACCCGAACGCCTTAACACTGAATACCAAATGAAGGATTTTTCTGAGTTTAAACGTCACTATTCACCCGCAGTTTAATGAACCTAATGAACATATGGAACCCTCTTACAACGACATTCTCCTGGTTATCCGATGGAATTTTCATCATTTTAAGAACCTTTCTCGTCTCGCTGATGAAATCCATCCATAAACACTCAGCTTCGTTATTAGTTATCTCCTAACCAGCGTGAACAGACTCGGGACAGACCACAGTCCAGCTGGGTCCGATCAGTCGAGACATCAGAAATCAGGCTCAACAGTTCTTTTTCGACAATTGGAATTGTTTGAGCGTTGACCTGAAGCTCGAACTCGTCATCACCCCGCTGACTCGCAGGATTTTCACAGGAGCCTGTTCTCCCCCGGCTCCCCCGTCTGCAGTGAATTAATTACACAGAGACGGCTGGACGAGTCCTGTCTGTCCGCTGTGATCCTTTTAATGGCGCTGGGAGAATACTCTCCCAGAGCTGACCCCTCAAAGCCTGCGGTATCGAGAGACGGATGAATTCATTACATTTTACTTCATTTCTTAACTTTTTACACGTCCATGCCAGACTATCTTAAAAAGACCATTAACGACCAACAAGCAACAAAAATTACTACCCAGAGAAAATAATTTTAGCCTTCTGATATATGTGAAATGACTTTCTTTGCTTAAATATATAAGAGCTTTTTAATACCCAACATAACTGGAAGATCATAACATAGACCCAGCAGACCCTCTTAAGAACATCACAGTGGCTCCAAAGTGCAGTAATTTAGACGTATTGATTGTCACGTGTTAATAACATTTTTTGTTTTAATATTTATTCTATATTTGTATTTTGTATTTTGTGGTATAATTTTTGCACCAACTGCACAGGTCACATTCCTCGTAGGGTAAAAACCTAACTTGGCAATAAAACAAAATTTCTGATTCTGATCTGATTCTGAATTCTTGCAGAGTTTCCTCTCAGTGTGTCGCTTTACTGTGATATTGTTTAACAACAGCAGGAAGAGATTTACTGACACACTTACATACGTTTGAGGATGAAACACCAACACTACACGAGAGTGCGTACAGGTACTGCTACAGTAGTCCAGCCTGATAACCATCCGCTAACAACTGCACCTGTAGGACTGTTTCCAAACACAACACCAGATACATACCATACGTATAGACCTTGCATCCTTTCCCTATTTGCCTTACTTTATCTTTTTGTTATGCTCCGTTCGTGAAATCCCATACCTACACCACTTCATTTTATCCACGATACCGTTTGTGTTTCATCCTCAAACTTTATGTAAGTGTGTCAGTAAATCTTCTTCCTGCTGTTTGTTAATCAATATCACAGTTTAAAGCTGACACACTGAAGAGGAACTCTGCAGCAATTCAGAATCAGAATCAGAATCAGAATTTTGTTTCCAAGTAGGTTTTTACCGCCTTACGAGGAAGTGACCTGGTGCCAGTTGGTGCAATAAAATATACACAAATACAAATACAAATATAAATATAAATATAAATACAAATATAATTTATTAACACGCTGACAATCAATACGTCTAAATTACTGCACTTTGGAGCCACTGTGAATGTTTGTCTTAAGAGGGTCTGCTTCTATTATATCTTCAGTTATGTTGGGTATTAAAAAGCTCTTTATATATTTAACAAAGAAGTCATTTCACATATATTCAGAAAGCTAAAATGATTTTCTCTCGTATAATTTTTGTGTCTTTTGGTCTTAATGGTCTTTTTAAGATATCTGCTGGACTGTGTAAAAAGTAAGAAATGAAGTAAATGTAAAATGTCATCCTCTCTCATACCGCAGGCTTTGAAAGGTCAGCTCTGAGATATTCTCCAGCGCCATTAAAACTCACACGGACAGACAGGACTCGTCCAGCCGTCTCTGGGTAATAATTCACTGCAGACGGGAGCGAGAACGAGGCTCCTGTGAAAATCCTGCGAGTCATTATGACGAGTTCAGCTTCAGGTCAACGTCAAACAATTCAATTCTGTAAAAGAGACACTGTTGAGCTGATTCTGATGTCTCGACTGATCGGACCCAGCTGGACTGTGTCTGTCCCAGTCTGGTTCAGCTGTTAGGAGATAAAATAAGAGAGTATGTTTATTGATATTTCATCAGCAAGAGAAATTGTCTTTAAAATGTCTGAAAATCCATCGATAACCAGGAAATTGTTTGTAAAGGTTCCATATGTTCATTAGGTTCATTAAACTGTTAATAGTGACGTTTAAACTCAGAAAAATCCTTCATTTTATTCAGTGTTAACTTCTGGGTAACACAGCAGAGGGTGAGGATGAACGTGAATAAAACTTTAATATTACTGGCAGACTGGAGACGGCAGAGCTTAAATTTACTCCAAACTAACTGACACGATATCAAATAGGCAGCTTAAATCTCTACATTAAACCTCAGAGGACAACAGAGCTGGGTGGATAAAGTTCATCTTTGATGTGTTTGTGCATTTTACTAGACTGCTACGGCGTAACGAGGGCTAATAACGGGCTAGTAGCTCAATGATGGAGCGATAACGTTACTGGCTGTCTGTGACCCGACTTGCTGTAAATTCTGTTTTATGTTGGCTTAGTGTTCATGTTGTTGTTTGGCCTGCTGAACGTTGCTTTAGCATGTTGCTACGTGGCCTCAGGCTGGAGGTTTCTGGACTCGTGTTGTAATATTGAGGGACAGTCGAGAGAAACTGCGTTGGCTTTGTTGTTGTATGAAAGCCTGTTTATCTCTTCGATCCTCACCGGTGTGCATGTGTTGTTCCTGTATTGATATTGCTACGTATGAACAATAAATAGTCAAAAAGCAGGAAGTCTTTTTCTTGACGATGTTTGTTTGATTAGCGTCCAGCAGCTAGCAGGTAGAGAGCGCTCAGTGCCCTGTGGATGAGTTAGTTAACCTTAGAAATAACAGATTTTACTTTCCCATCAACCATCAATCGATTGGTTGAATTTCAGTGGACCAGGATTTTCTTTAGTTGATTGTTATTGTACCTGAAGACCCTCTAGAGGCAGAAATGACATGTTAAATGTTTGGGAACATTTATTCGACCAACCGAACTGAAGCACGTGGAAAATGTTGTCACTATATTTATGTTTCCCCCGACTGTACGAGCTGGCTGGACTTGTTTGTTCCTCTTTGAGCTCACTGTCAGGACGGACTTGAAGCTCGTGGGACGTTGGATGATCTAACTTTGCCTCTGTATAAATCTCTGCCAGGACGGAGAGGGGCGGGCGGGGCTGGCGAGGATGAGTTGGAGGTTCGGGTCCTGAGGGATTCGGGCTCAGCTCGGCCTCTCTGACAGGGACTCCTCGCATCTCCGTTAAGCCCCTGATAGCTGCTGTATCTGGGTTACCCAGTTCTGCTCCGGCCTCAGCGTGCCCTAGATCAATATGGAAATCAGAAGTTTGAAATCGGCTCCACAGATGCAGAATGGGGAAGGATCAAAGTAGCCAGAGCTTTTTGTCTGTTGGTTTTATTTCCTGTTTGAACTTTTCAGCCCAACTTCACACACAGTCAAATGAAAAGGAAATGCTTGTTTGCTTTTTTACTGGCTGTCAGATTAGAAGATCAATATTAATTTAATCTTTCAGTGTCCGTTACAGAGAGAAATCAGTCCCATTTGTAAACTTTAGCTGTAATGAAAGTCTGAAATTGTAGCTTCAGTCTTGTGCAGGTGAAGATTTTAGTTATCAACAAAACAGGGAGTTGAGCCATTAAAATGCTGCGTCTAATATATTGTTGTTTTTTTAGCTAAAAAAGTATAATTTCCAAATTGAAATCCTGGAGGAACAAAACTCGAGTTGGCTTCTCCAAAATGTCGTGTTTTATTCAGTCCACATTGATTCATAAATTAAATATTTTTTACATACATTTGCTTGTCAAAATTAAAAGACTGAATGTTTCAGCGCGAGCACACTGATTCTTTAACGTACTGATCGCAGCTCTCCTGTTGTAGATTTTAGTTTCTGGCCTTTTTTTGCATTAAACAGTAAACGTTTGTTGTGGTTTGGCCTGATTTTGTTCCAGAGCTAGATCTTTTGTCAGTCTTCAGCGTGTAAACTGCTGCGAAAACGACACGCATGACTATTACGATTTTAGGCAAATAGATGAATATGGAGGCTTTTTTTAGTCCAGAGTCAAACTTCATCGTCCGTACAGAAAAGAATTTGTATGATCTCTTTTCAAGCGTGCAGCTTCGCTATCTTCTCTTCCTGTTTATACTCACCACGCTGTAGAGCGTTTGTACGCCGGCTTGTGGAGTTAGTGCAGTTATACCGCCACCTACTGGACTTAAATACTACAAAGTCTTAAATAGTTTTTTCCGATCCGTGTGCATGAGTTTCGTTTTCACGTAAATCGGTCCTCTGCTGTCGCTGTGAGAGCAAAACGGAACTAGTGAACTAGTGAATAAGTGTCGGGCTACATGTAGGAGATACAGTTGAACTTATTGTCACATTATTAATAAAATATATTTTCTGATATTGATAAATACAGCAAATGTAAGCAATGAATTGTGTCCCACTGCTGTAAATTACATAAGACTAAACTCGATAATTGTCTTTGATAGTTTCAGCTCCAAATGATTCCTAAAATAACTTTATAAGATCTTATCACACATCACTATATGATTAAAAAAAAGGGTCATCAGGTGTGCCGATAGTTATTTAAAATGTTTAAATATAAAAAGCTAATGTAAATGATTATGTTGTTTATGATTCAGTGATTCAGTGTGAAACTGATAATTCATCTTCCACTCAAAGAAAGAACCCACGCACACACACACACATATATATCTGGCAGCTGGTTTTAATTAGCGTTTAATAATCCAGTTTATCTGACAGCAAGTTATAAAAAGTGCTTTACATTCTCGAAGGGCCGGGTGATATAATATCAATAAAATATATTTCTGTATTCTTTATGAATATATATCACAATGTGACAGATATGTCTAATCATACATATAATAATCAACCTTTTAATAACTAATTCTGTTAAGTACAAACAAAACAAGCTATAATATATCATATGATGACATTATAATAATTCAATAATATTGATTAATTGCCCAGCCCTGTTTTCCTTTCAGTGATTAAAAACCAATGATCATTATGTCCTTAGAAATAAATCAATACAACACATTTAAAAACCCTGAAAATCCTCCAGCAGTCGAGTCAAACAGAAAGAAAAGAGGGTTTATCAAATATTTATAATATTTAATAATGTTCAAATTGCAAATGTGAACTTTTCAAACTTAACAAAATTTGATTTATTTTCTTTTAAAGTCACAAATTTCAGTTTTAAAAATAAAATATGGGGCGTTCCTGCCTTGTATTCAGACTTTTCTCTTAAATGTTTTAAGTTTTAAACATTTTATCACCAAATTTATGAAATAATGTGACTTTTAGCGTGTTTCTCATATTAGAAATAAACAATTTAAAAGCAGAAGTTACAGGTAAAGTCTGAATACAGCAGCTTATAATCACTTACAGCTACAAATATCTCAATATTACACAGGATAAAAATAGTTGACATACAGTATATGTTCATAATCATTAAAAAAAGAGTATTACATCAATATTTACATACAGCAATATGTGTAACTTTTTAAATAAACAGCTTATATAGAGCAGTGAGTGAGAACGTAGGTATAATAGAAAAAATAGATGGCTCTTTCCTTCCCTGTGATCAGTCCGTTTTATTGATGATAGCTATCACCGCTAGCTAACATCAGATTTTAACACGCGTCTTTAATAACCACCAATGACCTGAGATCAACCCGTGTTTCCCTTCAACACTTAATAAAATCATTAACCACATTAATTAATGGAAATATGTTCAAATTTATCTGAGTCCAAATTCTGTGTTTGAGTTTAAAAAGTCACAAATTTAAGAATATATTAATTATCTAATTTAAAAAGTTTGCCTGTAATTCCAGCAAACATATAAAGTTTTAATTAAAAAGTTTAATGCTTCAGTTTGTTTTTATTGAGTTTATGGACGTCTAACATAAGTCAAGAATGTCTGATACGTGCTTTTTATACATTCTTCTTTGTTTTTTCTGAGTATCAAACATTGTGTTATCTCACATAGTTTGAATAATTAACGCAGTAAAGTCTCTCCTCTGTTGATCGTCTGTTCAGCGTCCGTTGTAGATGAAATCTGAGGAGGAAAAGAAAGTTTCAGTCATGATTTATTGGATTATTAATGCGGTTTTAATAAACTCAGAGAAAGAACTGCAGCAGTGTAGCTACTAACAGAAATATATTTTATTATTAGACTTTAAGACCAATTTCCAGGGTTAAATAAAATACAGGAATTGAATTAAAATGATCAAATATCCTTGAAATAACTTATGTACTGGAAATAAACAATAATACTACATGTTTGTAGTTTAACCTGTTGATTTTAATTTCATATACTGTAAAGTTGTTCATAAAAATAAGTCATTTATTTAACTTTGGCTGTTTACTATGAAACTTTAATCCAAATATCTGCATCATTCTGAGGGGGGAAATAAGAGCGTCTCCCTCCGCCCTGCAGCGTCGGTTAGTTTTAGCGCTCGTTCAGGTTTTGGGGTCTCACCGCGGCAGTACTCGGGGTTGAAGTTTTCATAGATGGGGTAGAGAGGATTCTCCTGTTCACTGCGATGTTTCCTGGCTCTCAGGACGTCCCGTACACACTGGTGCAGAAAGGCATACTGGCACTGCAACACACACAAGGAAGTAAAATGTAATGAACTGTGATATGTATTTATTTATTCATCATGTATTCTCATTATTTTTCTGATAAAAAGGCTTCACATTTAACACACTGTCTTGTTTGGTCTGATATTTACTGGACTTTCAGCTGAGCTCGGTGCAGTTTTCACTGTTGTTTCAGGGCTGATTTGGAACAATATTTGCTGGCACTGTTTCAACCTGGATTTTGACCATAACTTTCTGGTGTTTCAGCAGTAGTTAGACCATTACTTTTCGGTGTTACATCCCTGCTTTAGCCCAGTATTTACCTGTGTCTGAGCTGTGGTGGAGGCTTACGTTGCTCCATATCTGCTTTACCGTTAACATGTTACACGGTAGCCTTATCAAGCTGTTGTGCTATCATTATTCTGTTGTTGTACCTCAGTCTGGACCATGTGCTGGCGGTGCAGGCGGAGGTCGAACACACAGCCGTACAGGTCTACGGTTCCTTTAGAGTCCAGCTGCTGCAGAACCCGATCCAAGGCCATGAACGTCCCTGTACGACCAACACCAGCACTAACAAACACACAGTCAACAGTCAGTCAACAGAGCAGATTCACTAAAAAAGCATCTTAAATGATGATTCAATTAGTGAATTAACGGTCCCACACGCTCGGTCCTACCTGCAGTGTATGACGGTGGCTCCGGTGCTGGGTGATCGGTCCACGTAGTCCCGGACCGTCCTCACAAACTGGATCAGGGACTGGGTGCTCTCTGGGACGCCATGATCGGGCCACACAGTGTAGTGGAAGTGACGCAGCACCCGAGGGTAAGCGCGGCTGCTCTCCTGTCAGGATTCATCGATTTCATATTATTATATATTGATTTTAAAACTATTGATTAGCTAGCGGGGAGCAGAGAAGGAGGTAAAGGTACCGAGGTGATCTTGAACTCTCTGATGGTCCACTCGGGCAGGACGGACTCTGACAGCATCTGAATGACCAGGTCACCGTAGTACAGAGGTTCTCTGTCTGCAGGCCAGTACTGATCACACTTCACCTGTAACACACGTTATATATAATGAAACTAGTTCAAATCTGATAATGTAACAGAGAAAATAGTGAAATATCTTGTGTTTATTCAGGTTGAAGTTACAATAAAGGATTCAAATATTAGTGAACTGAATATTTTAGGGTTTTGGACACAATAAGATACATGAAGACATTACCTTGGACTCTTTATGGCCATTTTTTACTATTTTATAAAGATTTCAAAGACGAAGCGATTAATTAATCGGAATTAAAAACAAAAATACTAGCAGTTAATATAATACTGTTCAGGAGTATATTTTCTCGAACCAATCAATTGGTTAATCGACAGCTTAAACTAATCATAATTTTTCAGTTTTTCAAGCACCAAAACCAAATATTCTCTAGTTTTAGCTTCGATTGTGAAGATTCACTGCTTTTATTTGTCTTGTAGGTTTGTTTGTTGAGTTTTAGGAAAATGTAATACACATTTTATAACAATCAAAAAAAAATCATTGGTAGCAGTTTTTATATGTTCTGTTATTCAGTTTCTTCTCAATTCAGTGAATTCTTACTTGTGAGCGTAACAGTTATTTTAATTATCGATTAACCTGTCGTTCGTTTTCATTGATTAATTTCATTGATTCATTAATTATTATGTTGTTTAAGTCCATAAAATGTCAGAAAATTGTGAAAAACGTTCCCAAGGGGACGTCCTCAAATGTCTTGTTTTGTCCACAACTCAAAGATATTGAGTCTACTGGCAGAGAGGACAAAAAAAAAGCTGAAAATATTCACTTTTGAGAAACTGAAATCTGGACATTTTTTCAACATTATCAAAATTGTTGGCGATTAATTCATTTTATGAGAAGTGACATAAAAAATAATATTACTATTATTATTATCATACAATTTCATACATTTTCTATTCCTTCATTACCTTCTTGCCTTGTCTTTAAACACACTTTATATCATAACAGTGGAAATGGTCACTATAACTAAGAGGATCCATCCTCAGTGCGCCATTATTGGAATTTACTCTTGACTGAAGTGTTGCATGGAGCAAATTAATAAAACAAGAAGACCTAAAATGACCGTCGGTAACTCACCCGTCCCTTCTCCACACACTGTGTCACCATGACGACGTTGTAGACGCCGTGCTCCCACACCATTCGCCAGAAATCATCCTTGGTGCCAGGCAGCGGGCCCTGGGTGGCGATGTACTCCCTGCGGTAGTTGTTACCCTGCACACACACACACAGGAGAGAGGTGTCAGTGTGTGTAAGTGTGTATTACGTGTGAGTGTGAGTGTGTGTGTGTGTGTGTGTGTGTGTACGCACTGGTACGTAGCTGGCGTTGATGTAGTCGGAGCAGGGGTCGTCCTCCAGGTACGACATCTTCACTCTGGTAGAATCATCTGGAAAAAGAGACGTTCGTTATCCACTATGTCAGATACAGTAGCTGCTGGTTTTGGGGGGTTTATGGTTCAGGGTACAATGTGAGCTTTGTTGGGGTCTAAAATAAGATAATTTAATAACAGCCTGACAAGTGCACTCACTGTGGGGCAGATGTCAGATTTATCAGACCCTCAGATTCAACCAATCCCTGTGAACTCGTTCAATTTGACCAATCATTGTAGTTTTCAGTACAAACCGTTGACACAGTGTGATTTTTAATGAATTATACAAAAAATAGAAATAATATTTGCAACTTTTGTTTAAAATTTTCACATTTTTCCACTATTTAATTGTATTAAAAACTAGTAAAGCTGCTGTGAAATCAGGTATTTTAGGCCCAACAACCCCCAACCTGTGTTTCTTGGTGCTTTATTGAACTATTCACATTCTAGTTTAAATTCCTATTAAAGGTCAGTTTGATTCTTGTGTTACTTTGATTAAATCTTTCTCTGTTTTTAACTGTTTTATTGATTTTCAGGCTCATAGTTGCTGTCAGTTTAAAAACCTCACTGACATCTTCACAACTCTAATAAAATGCATTTTATTTATTATTTCTACATGTTATAATCCACAAATACTGACTGTGACAGTCCACTGAAATATCTTCAAAGATTTTCAGTTTGCGATAATAAACAGTTTAAAGCAGCAAATCCTCCAGTTTACTGACTGAAACATGTCGACTGCTACAAAACTAACGACACTGCTTACTTCAGTCTAAACGACACAGATTCAAAATCACATTTAACAGCTTTTATTATTGTAAGTGAGACTATTTGTTAAAATGTTAAACGCTGTGACTCACACAGACTGAACTGAAGAGGGAGAAACAACCATGATTCATTTTACTATGAGTGTGTGTGTGTGTGTGTGTGTGTGTGTGTACAGCTGCTGTTGTTAATGGATCACCTCGAGCCACAAATCATATTTCTCTGTTCGTATAGAAAATTGTCTGCAGTTACACATGAGTGATGCTTAATTACTTTATTTAAACTGTGACACTGAAACATACACAACTCTAAATATAACGCAATGGTATCAGCTGCAAACTCATTCATTTAATTTGAAAACATACACACATTTATATTAATAACTTTGGTAACGTTAATGAAAATGTTAAACTAATGAAGGAAATAAAGAGAATATATTCATGTTATTTGTTTGGATATTGTTTTGGGGAAATGTGTATTAAATTATGCCATTATTAAAGATATTAAGGAATATTTAGTCATAAAAACAAAGATGGAGTTTTCACATCATTCACAGGAGGTTATGCTGGCTGTTAATAACCCTCTATCTATGTATGTTTATATTGTGGTGCAGTGGTTCGGACTCCAGCACAGACACAGAGAGTCTGACAGCAGCTGCTCATGGCGGGTTAGCTCTGACTGCCAGCTCGCCGTTCCTGCTATACTGTTGTTGTCGGTGTTGAGGCCACGCCCCCTAAAGTCCCTAAACTGTCCTTTGCACGTCTTTGATGCAGTTTTTTAAGATACCAGAACTGAAGAGTGCAGTTACACTTTAAAAACCTTCAGGAAAATAACAGTATGTGGACACAGGCACTCAAACAAGACATAAAGTAAACTGATCTTATATCTTTGGGGGTTTGGACTGTTGATCGACCACAACAAGACATTTTAACAACGTAACCCTGGGCAACTAACTGGCAGATTATTAATCCCACCGCCTTTTAAAAGAAGAGAAAATGTGGAGAGGACAAAGATATTCAGTGTAACTATATGTTCTTTAAACTCTGCTGCAGCACAATCCATCATCTGCATGTTATTAATGTTTTTATTAACTCCAGCCTCGACCCACAGACTGGTACATCACCGTCGCCATGGGAACAGGCGCTGTCTTGTTAATTAAAGCTCTTAACGATGTCATCATTGTAATGATTTTCACATTGATTGGTTTATTTTGTTCTCACCGTGGACTCGATAACTTTGTTTTACATTATAAATGTATTTGAAGGCCCCTTTTACATCAAGTTCGATATAAATACAATTGACATTACGTTAATGGTTTTTGTTTTAATTTGCTGCAGCAGAGAGAATTAAAGCCCATTTACTCACACACACTCATGCAGCAGGACTTACATGGCAGGATGTTGTTGTAGCGGTTCTTTCCTCGGTTCTCTGGCAGTCGGGCGACGTCCATCGTCTGGTTGCGGCCCACATCCTTCAGATCCTGCGTCAAAACAAGATGATTCATTAACAGTCAGACAAGTGTTTTAATTGTGTGAATTAAGGATTTATTTCCACCA